GCATCAGGACCCACATGACAGAGAGCTGCACATATTTCTGCATTCCTTCATTAATTAGGCATGTATATAAATGATCCCTGACATGAAGACAGGATGAATCAGTGTCTAACAGCAGCTTTCGTTCACCTCAGACGGTCACAGTTTATCAGCTGCAGGTAAACGATGCGTCACAGAGCAGACAGAGATTCAGTCTTCAGTTATTTTATATGCATCACGAGATGTTCTGTTTCATCTGAAATGTTCATAAAAATCTAACTTTACTGCACCGAAAAGAGCCTGTAACAGGTCAGATTAATAAGATCAAGGACGTAAACCAGCTTTCCACTGACAGGAAGTGAGCTTCGGTTGGTTGCCTCCAGTTGTTTCGGATGATTTCCTCTGAGTTTCTTGAACATCTCACCTCAGACGGTCGCAGTTTATCATCTGCAGGTGAATCACGTGTCACAGAGCAGATCTAAATGACATTTATTAGTGTATTATTATATATTCTGCGTGATAAAATGTCAACACTTTAACTCGTTTACGAAGCAGAAACGTTACAGATCCCACGTCTGAAAGAGGCTTCAGCTCAACTCATCAGGTTCAGAGTCATGAGAACTGCTCGTCTGCTAACATCATGTTTATGTGGAACTTTCCTCCTTATGAAAGATTATCTCACCGACGAGAACCCGGTTGGACGAGAGCGGGTCGACACCAGAGCCTCTCATTTTATTTTCAGCGCCGCCGTTTCTTGTCCGGTTTCTGTTTGTCGGAGCTGCACAGCCGACCATTGTTTAAACCCACAGAACAAGACATGTGGAATTTTTCCATCTGATGTCATGCTGCCGGCATAAAAAAACAAAAAAAACCAACAGCTCAGAGTTTCAGCTTCAGCGAGGTGCAGCCAGACTGTAATAAATCGTGGTTTTAAAAAAAGAGGAGGTGACTTTGTGGGTAAAAGCTGCAAATGTTGTGCAGCTTAATGCAGCTGTTAGAATCAGAGCGACCCTGTTGGTTATGCTGCAGCTTTTATTCCTCAATGAGCGTCTGTTTGTGTTTGTGTGTGTGGCAGGAGTCCCGCAGTTCAGCGTGTCCTTGCCAGGGACCGTGTGTGTGTGTGTGTGTGTGTGTGTGTGTGTGTGTGTGTGTGTGTGTGTGTGTGTTACCAGGGGAAACCCCGACTCGATCCTCCAGGGTTCAGCTGAAATGTTCTGAAACAAGCAAAGAAAAAACAAAAAGCGAGAGTGAGTGTGGGAGAGCCTGGGATAGCCCACAGTGTGTTCTACAGGCTGCTTCAGCTCCACAAACCGTCCTGACAGTCACAGCACATTAAACATTCAGCCGCTCGTGTTTTACAAAGTTTGCACACGGTTGTCAAACTTAAGTCCTCGCAGAAGCAAATATTAATACTCCGATTAATCTGACAAACAGAGTCGGGCTTAGAGGCGGTTTATGGGCGGAGGAGCTCCGGTTAGTGGATCAGACGGCGGCCTAGAGTTTGTGATGCGGCGTTTTAAAGCAAACACACCTTCGGTTAAAGATAATCTGTGTGCGTGCGCTTTTCTCTTGCAGCACAAGTCGTGGAAGAAGATCAAGAACATGGTTCACTGGTCGCCGTTCGTGATGTCCTTCAAGAAGAAGTATCCCTGGATCCAGCTGGCCGGGCACGCAGGTACGTGGAGTTAAGGGTCAGAAATGAAAAATATTATATTAATTATACTCTTAATGTTCATTCTGAACCTTCAGTGTGATGAGATCAGAGGCTTCTGGGATGTTTTTAGGGTTAAAAACACACACTGCTGTTGTAGAAGTACCAACAGCTCTGAGTACAAATACTCTGTTGTGAGTAAAAATCCTGCAAACTAATAACATCTGCAGACACATGTTCAGTGTTTTCTACATTTCTGAAAATACACATGATGGTTCACCAGATCACCAATTAGTCTGAGATTATCTGATAATTTTATCAGAATAATTTAATATTTGAGTTTCTTCCACTAGACAAGGGTTTGTTTAATGCCTTAATTTGCAAGTTTAAACAAAATACATGTGGAAATGCTGGAATTTATCTGGATCTACAGGATATTCTTTTATATTTTATTTCAGATTTTCACTTTTTTTTTTTACTTGAATTATTCGTTGCACCTGTAAGCATGTATTTTAACAAGAAAAAAAAACAGTGTTATGTGGCCTGTAGGGCACTAGAAGCTAAAAAAAGCTTTTTTATGTTGTGTTTTTTTTTGTCTTCTCCTTTTATTGCAAGTTTGGCTTCATTACTTCATTTTTTTAAATGAACTTTTTCATTGAATTTCTGAATATTTGTACATTTGCATTTACAAAACTGTCTGTGCAGTATTCGTATTTCTGCTGGTGGAATAATCTGAAGCAGGATCTGAATTTTCTCTCTTGATGTCCCGACACGTTTGTACTCCTCCCATCTTATCTTATTTAATCTTTATCTAACTGTGTGAACTCTTGAATGATTTAAAAAAAGAAAAAGAAAAAGGTTTTCAGTATTTCCAATGCCTTGCTATAAGTCAGGCTACTTATCTGCATATTAGTCATTTAAAATCAGAAGTGGAAAAATAATTCAGGTCGTTTACTGAAGTCAAAGTTGCAGTACAGCAAAGTAAAAATACTTGATTACAAGTAGGAATCCTACTTCAGTGGAAGTACACAGCAGCATCATGTAGATAAATTACTGCAGGTTACTGTTGGTTTGAACTACTTTATGTCCAGTTTTATATTCAGGAACAGACGATAAATTAATCTGTCATCTTCTGTACTTGCTGCAAAATTGGAACATTTATTGAAATGAAATAAAAGTTTTTTTTAGAGGTGTGTCCACTGTATATATGATATAAAGAACAACAGAAGAACACGAGGATGCTAAGAACACACATTTAATAATATGTACATGAATTAAATAAAATGGGAATATTTCAAGTGCAAGTAGCTCAAAATTATTCCTAAATTCAAGCAAACCTTGAGGTTCAATAAACAGAAGACCCTGCAGATCTTCTTGACTTGAAAAAAAACAAAGTTCTGCTCATTTTCTGGTTTGTAATTTAGGGTTTTTTGGATCTACTAGAGTGTATTCACATGTTTTAATGTTTAAAACACATTATTTTCCTCATATTATTAACTACACACGTCTTACTCTCACCCTGAAACCACCAAACTCGCTCTGCAGCCGCTGCTCAGTGAAACTTTTGTCTTTTTTCAGGGAGCTTCAAGGCGGGAGCGAACGGCCGCATATTAAAAGTAAGACTCCTTTCACCGCCTTTCGATTCGCCGTTAGATTCTTGGCTTTGAGTCGGCGTCGCCGGGAGTTTGTAATTGATTGTTGACGTCCTTTAGAAACACTGTGAATGCGAGCAGCGCTGCCTGTCCCTGCTGATGAGGGACGTGCTTCGTCCGTACGTCCCCGGTTACCACGGCGACGTGGAGAAGGACGGACAGAAGTACAACCAGATGGAGGATCTGCTGGCCGAGTTCGACTTCCCGTGTGTGATGGACTGCAAGATGGGAGTCAGGTGAGAGAAAACATGACTTCAACATTCAGCACTGTTCTGTTTAATTCCTCAGTTAAATTTTCCTTCTTACAAGTTAGATGCTCATTTTTATTTCTTGGGTTAATATTATAATTATATTCAAGCAGTAACGACTTTATTTGGAGGTGAAGCATCCAGTCTGTCTGCATTAGTCACTTATTGCTCATGAAGTCTGGTCAAAGTTGAGCCAAGAAGTCAGGTGTTAAACTTTGACGGATCTTTGAG